GGACACTGGGGGGACACTGGGGACCCTACAGGGATGGGGGAACCCTACAGGGACATTGTGGGGACACTGGGGACCCTGCAGGGGTGGGGGGGCCCTATAGGGACACTGGGGGGGCAGAGTGACCCCAAGCAGGAGCTTGACCCTACAACAACACTGGGGGTGACCCTGTAACAACGCTGGGGACCTTACGGTGACATCGGTGACCCTGCAGTGACCCCATAACAACATTGGGGACCCTATAACCACGCTGGGGACCCTGCAGTGACCCCAAACACGGGTGACCCTACCATGACAGGGGTGAGATGACCCTATAGTGACCCTATAACACAGAGTGACCCTATAACCACACTGGGGACCCTACAATAACAAGTGACCCTATGGTGATCCTTTAACCACATTGGGGACCCTACAGTGACCCCAAACAGGGGTGACCCTGCAATGACAGGGGTGAGGTGGCCCTACAGTGACCCTATAACACAGAGTGACCCTATAACAACACTGGGGACCCTGCAGTGACCCTAAATCGGGGTGACCCTACAGCAACAGGGGTGAGGTGACCCTATGACAACACTGGGGACTCTACAGTGACCCTGAACAGGGGTGACCCTGTAACAACATGGGGGTGACCCTGCAGTGACCCTGTAACAACATTGGTGACCCTATAACCACACTGGGGACCCTACAATAACAAGTGACCCTATAGTGATCCTTTAACAACACTGGGGACCCTGCAGTGACCCCATAACCCCACTGGTGACATTGCAGTGACCCCAAACAGGGGTGACCCTACAATGACAGGGGTGAGGTGACCCTATAACAACATTGGGGACCCTGCAGTGACCCTACCTACAATGACAGGGGTGAGGTGACCCTATAACAACATTGGGGACCCTACAGTGACCCCATAACCCCACTGGGGACCCCATAACCCCACTGGGGACCCTGCAGTGACCCTAAACAGGGGTGACCCTATAACCCCATTGGTGACCCTATAACCACACTGGGGACCCTACAATAACAAGTGACCCTATGGTGATCCTTTAACCACATTGGGGACCCTACAGTGACCCCAAACAGGGGTGACCCTGCAATGACAGGGGTGAGGTGGCCCTACAGTGACCCTATAACACAGAGTGACCCTATAACCACACTGGGGACCCTACAATAACAAGTGACCCTATGGTGATCCTTTAACCACATTGGGGACCCTACAGTGACCCCAAACAGGGGTGACCCTGCAATGACAGGGGTGAGGTGGCCCTACAGTGACCCTATAACACAGAGTGACCCTATAACAACATTGGGGACCCTACAGTGACCCTAAATCGGGGTGACCCTACAGCAACAGGGGTGAGATGACCCTATGACAACACTGGGGACTCTACAGTGACCCTGAACAGGGGTGACCCTACAGTAACATTGGGGTGACCCTGCAGTGACCCTATAACCACACTGGGGACCCTGCAGTGACCCTAAACAGGGGTGACCCTATAACCCCATTGGTGACCCTATAACCACACTGGGGACCCTACAATAACAAGTGACCCTATGGTGATCCTTTAACCACATTGGGGACCCTACAGTGACCCCAAACAGGGGTGACCCTGCAATGACAGGGGTGAGGTGGCCCTACAGTGACCCTATAACACAGAGTGACCCTATAACCACACTGGGGACCCTACAATAACAAGTGACCCTATGGTGATCCTTTAACCACATTGGGGACCCTACAGTGACCCCAAACAGGGGTGACCCTGCAATGACAGGGGTGAGGTGGCCCTACAGTGACCCTATAACACAGAGTGACCCTATAACAACACTGGGGACCCTACAGTGACCCTAAATCGGGGTGACCCTACAGCAACAGGGGTGAGGTGACCCTATGACAACACTGGGGACTCTACAGTGACCCTGAACAGGGGTGACCCCGTAACAACATGGGGGTGACCCTGTAACAATATTGGTGACCCTGCAGTGACCCCAAACAGGGGTGACCCAACAATGACAGCGGTGGGGTGACCCTATAACAACATTGGGGACCCTACAGTGACCCTATAACCCCACTGGTGACCCTGCAGTGACCCCAAACCGGGGTGACCCTACAGTAACAGGGGTGAAGGTCTGGGAATTTTTGGGGTGACCCCCAAACTTTTGGGAGGGGTCCCTGAATATTTTTGGGGTCCCCTGAGATTGGTGGGGGGAGGGGGGAATCTGGGAAAAGTCCTGGAGTTTTTGGGGGGAATCCCTGAATTTTTGGGGTCCCCAAAGATTGGAGGGTCCCCAAAAATTTGGGAATCCCCAAAAATTTGGGGTCCTCAGGAACGGAGGGAATTTTCTTGGGGATTTTGAGGGGAGGGGGTTCCCCAAAATTTGGGAATTCCCAAGGATCGGGGGGGTCCCCAAGGATTGGGAAAGGTCCCCAAAATTTGGGGTTTTCCAGGATTTGGGGAATTCCCAAAAATCCAGAGGGGGTCCCCAGGGATTGGAGGGTCCCCAAAATTGGGGGGTCCCCAAAATTGGGGGTCCCTGACCTTTGACCCCGCGCTCCCCCCAGCTCCAGCCCCGCTGTCCCCGGCACCTGGCCCAGGTGAGTGCAGTCCAATCCTGGGGGGATTTTGGGGGGATTTGGGGTTTTGGGGGAGTTTGGGATTTCTCCAGGATTTGGGAAACTTCTGGGAATGCTCCTGGGGATCCGTCCTGAGGGATTTGGGGGATCCATCCTGAGGGATTTGGGGGATCCATCCTAAAGGATTTGGGGGATCCATCCTGAGGGATTTGGGGATTTCATCCTAAAGGATTTGGGGGATCCATCCTAAAGGATCCCAGGGGATTTGGGGGATCCATCCTGAGGATTTGGGGGATCCATCCCAGAGGATTTAGGGATTTCATCCTGAAGGATTTGGGGGCTCCATCCTGAGGGATTTGGGGATTTAATCCTAAAGGATTTGGGGGATCCATCCCAGGGGATTTGGGGGATCCATCCTGAGGATTTGGGGGATCCATCCCAGAGGATTTAGGGATTTCATCCTGAAGGATTTGGGGGCTCCATCCTGAGGGATTTGGGGATTTAATCCTAAAGGATTTGGGGGATCCATCCCAGGGGATTTGGGGGATCCATCCTGAGGATTTGGGGGATCCATCCCAGAGGATTTAGGGATTTCATCCTGAAGGATTTGGGGGCTCCATCCTGAGGGATTTGGGAATTTCATCCTAAAGGATTTGGGGGATCCATCCCAAGGAATTTTGGGTTCCATTCCTGGATTTGGGGGCTCCATCCCAAGGGATTTGGGGATTTAATCCCAAAGGATTTGGGGGCTCCAACCCAAAGGATTTGGGGATCCATCCATGAGAAATTTGGGGGATCCATCCCAAGGGATTTGGGGGCTCCAACCCAGGGGATTTGGGGGATCCATCCCTAAGGATTTGGGGTCTCCAACCCAAAGGATTTGGGGGCTCCAACCCAGGGGATTTGGGGGATCCATCCTGAGGGATTTGGGGATCCTTTCCTGAGGGATTTGGGGGATCCATTTAGGAGGATTTGGGGTTGCCCAGTTTGTCCCAGTTTCTCCCCCAGTTTCTCCCACTTTCTCCCATTTTTTATCCCAGTTCCTCCCAGTTTCTCCCAGTTTCTCTCCCAGTTTCTCTCCCAGTTTCCCCCAGTTTCTCCCACTTTCTCCCATTTTTTATCCCAGTTCCTCCCACTTTCTCCCACTTTCTCCCAGTTTCTCCCAGTTTCTCTCCCACTTTCTCCCACATTATCCCAGTTTTTATCCCAGTCTCTCCCAGTTCTTCCCAGTTTCTCCCATTTTTTTATCCCAGTTCCTCCCAGTCTCTCCCAGTTTGGGCCAGCAGGAGCCTGGGCAGGGCAGCTCTGCCTCCAGAGGCTCTGGAATGCCCCGGGATGTTTTTTTGGGATATTTTTGGGAGCAGCAGCGTCAGCCTGAGCCTGTCCAGATGCGCCCAGGCAGCCGCGGAATCCCGGGATTTCGGGAGAATTCCCACATCTCCCACCCCCCTCTGGATCAGGAGTGGATCCCAGCCCTGGGGGCTCCTTCCTGATCCCTCACCTGGCAGTGGGAGCAGAAAATTCCCGGGATTGGAGGCAAAAATTCCCGGGTTTGGAGGGGGAGGGGGAATTCCAGTGCTGGCCCTTGGGGTTGTTTGGGATTCCGGCAGAATTCCAGGGAATTCTGTGGAATTCCAGGCCTCTGCTGCTGCCCTTTCCCATGGAAATGGGATTTTTGGGAGGCTGGGGGGCCGGCAGTGCTCTCCTGGGGAGATTCCAGGGGGAGTTTTTGGTGGGAATGTGTTTAAAGACGGATCTTTAGAATCCCAGATTTCTCAGGGTTGGATTTTCCCGGGATGCTGAGCAGGGTTTGGGTGTCCTGCAGCATTCCCAGGTGGTTTTTCCATGGAAAGTGGGAATTTTGGGAACAGCCAAGCCAGGTTTGGGTGTCCTGCAGCATTCCCAGGTGGTTTTTCCATGGAAAGTGGGAATTTTGGGAACAGCCAAGCCAGGTTTGGGTGTCCTGCAGCATTCCCAGGTGGTTTTTCCATGGAAAGTGGGAATTTTGGGAACAGCCAAGCCAGGTTTGGGTGTCCTGCAGCATTCCCAGGTGGTTTTTCCATGGAAAGTGGGAATTTTGGGAACAGCCAAGCCAGGTTTGGGTGTCCTGCAGTGTTCCCAGGTGGTTTTTCCGTGGAAAATTGGGATTTTGGGAACAAACTCGACCCCGTGGGGCTCTGTGGCAGGTGGAAAAAGGGGAATTTTGTGTGGGAATGTTCCAGAGTGGATTTTTGGGATCCCAAACCCCTCGGGATGGGATTTTCCCGGGATGCTGAGATGTCCCCGTGTCCCCGCAGGGATTCCCGTGGGAAGCGGCGATGTCGGACAAGGGCGGCAGCATGGACGGCAGGACGGACATTGTCAACGGTGAGGGGACAGCTGGGGACAGCCAGGGGACAGCTGGGGTGGCAGCGGAGGTGGCAGGGTGACAGTGACAGGGTGGCAGCAGTGATGGCAGCGATGGTGACAAGGCAACGGTGACAGCGAGGGTGGCAGCAGAGGTGACAGTGCCAGGGTGGCTGTGATGGTGACAAAGTGGCCGTGGTGGTGACAGCGATGGTGCCAGGGTGTCAGTGCAGGTGCCAGCCATGGTGCCACCACGCTGTCCCCCTGGTGGTGGCAGTGTCACCAGTCCCTGTCCCCGCCCCCAGGCAGTGACACTGTCCATCCTTGTCCCCCTGCAGCCTGTCCAGCAGTGGTGACACCGGTGACAGTGTGATGTCCCTGTCCCCAGGCAGCCTGTTGAGCTGTCCCCATGGCAGTGTGACACCCGTGACACTGCTGTCCCCATGGTGGCACTGCGATGTCCCTGTTCCCAGGCAGAATGGTGACACTGGTGGCACAGTGCTGTCCCCATGGTGACACTGTCCCCTGTCCCCTGTCCCCAGGCAGCCTGTCGAGCAGCCCCGAGGACATGTCAGCCGAGGAGGGCCGGTGTCACTGCGATGTCCCCATGGCAGTGTGACACTGGTGGCACTGTGCTGTCCCCGTGGTGACACCCTGCTGTCCCCTTGTCCCCAGGCAGCCTGTCCAGCAGCCCCGAGGACATGTCAGCCAAGGAGGGCCGGTGTCACTGCGATGTCCCCATGGTTTTAAATCAGGTTTTAACTGAGGTTTTAACTGAGGTTTTAAATGAGGTTTCAAATGAGATTTTAAATGAGGTTTTAACTGAGGTTTTAAAAGATTTTATTCCTTTATCAGTCTCGGTGCATAGTGAGACACAGGAGATGTAAAACTGGGTAGTGGCTGCTGCTTCACAGGGGGCTGAGGGGGGAAAGAGGTGGTAAAAGAGGTTTTAAATCAGGTTTTAAATTGGGTTTTAAATCGGGTTTTAAATTAGGTTTTAAATTAGGTTTTAAATGAGGTTTTAACTGAGGTTTTAAAAGGTTTTATTCCGTTATCAGTCTTGGTGCATAATGAGACATAGGAGATGTAAAACTGGGTGGTGGTTGCTGCTTCTGTCACTACAGGGAGGCTGAGCGGGGAAAGAGGTGCTAAAAGAGGTGGTGAAAGAGGTTTTAAATGGCTGAGGTTTTGAGGTTTTAAATGAGGTTTTAACTGAGGTTTTAAAAGATTTTATTCCATCATGAGTCTCGATGCATAGTGAGACACAAGAGTGGGTGGCTGCTGGTTTTCTTGTAAAAACTGAGGAAGTTTTCACACTTGATTATGGAAAGTCACCCTACAGTAGCAAGGGACCCAAAGTGACCCTACAATAACCTTGGGTGACCCTACAAAAACATTGGTTTTCTCTAAAAACTGAGAAAGTTTTCCCACTTGATTGTGGGAGGTGATCCTACAAAAACATTGGGGTGACCCTACAGTGACCCTAAATGTGGGTGACCCTGCAATAACATTGGATTTCTCTAAAAACTGAGAAGATTTTCACACTTGATTGTGGAAGGTCACCTTACAGTAACTTTGGGGTGACCCTAAACACGGGTGACCCTACAACAAAGTTGGTTTTCTATGTAAAACTGAAAACTGAGAAAGTTCTCACACTTGGCTGTGGGAGGTCACCCTACAGTGACATTGGGGTGACCCTAAACACGGGTGACCCTACAACAAAGTTGGTTTTCTATGTAAAACTGAGAAAGTTTTCACACTTGGCTGTGGGAGGTCACCTTACATTAACTTTGGGGTGACCCTAAACACGGGTGACCCTACAATGACATTGGCACACTTGACTGTGGGAGGTCACCCTACAATGACATTGGGGTGACCCTAAACACGGGTGACTCTACAACAAAGTTGGTTTTCTATGTAAAACTGAAAACTGAGAAAGTTCTCACACTTGGCTGTGGGAGGTCACCTTACAGTAACATTGGGGTGACCCTAAACACCGGTGACCCTACAATGACATTGGGGTGACCCTAAACACGGGTGACCCTACAATGACATTGGGGTGACCCTAAACACAGGTGACCCTACAACAAAGTTGGTTTTCTTGTAAAAACTGAGAAAGTTCTCACCCTTGGCTGTGGGAGGTCACCCTACAATGACATTGGGGTCACCCTACAACAACGCTTTTCTCTGTAAAAACAGAACACTTCCCCACTTTATTACTCAAAAAGCAGCTATTACTGCCCGCTTACCAGCAGCTAACCCCGTAACAACTAAGCAGCCGTGCCAAGGCAGCCCCGTAAAGCTGAGCCTGTGTCCCCAGGTGGCCTCGGAGACGTGGGCGCTGCCGCGGCCGCGCTGGCGGGCGATCCCGGCGCTGCGGCAGCGCCAGCTGGGCGGCTGCTCGCGCTTCGTGGCGCAGGCCTGCGGCGCCCGGCTCTTCGTGCAGAAGTTCCGGCTGCAGCACGGCCTGGAGGGGCACACGGGCTGCGTCAACACGCTGCACTTCAACCAGCGCGGCACCCGCCTGGCCAGCGGCAGCGACGACCTCAAGGTGCTGGTGTGGGACTGGCTGCGGCGCCGGCCCGTGCTGCAGTTCGACAGCGGGCACAAGAGCAACGTCTTCCAGGTGGGCACGGTGGGCTTCTGGGGTGGGCATGGTGGGCTTCTGGGGTGGACATTGTGGGTTTTTGGGGTGGGCATCGTGGGTTTTTGGGGTGGGCGTGGTGGTCTTTTGGGGTGGGAGCACAAAGGACTGGCTGTGGCACTGGCCTGTGCTGCAGTTCCACAGTGGGCACAAGAGCAACGTCTTCTAGGTGGGCGTCGTGGGTTTTTGGGGTGGATGTCGTGGGCTTTTGGGGTGGGCGTGGTGGGTTTTTGGGGTGGGATCACAAAGGGGATGTGTTGGCTGCGTGGGTTTCCCAAAGTTTGTGGGTGTCTGTTTAGGTGTTGTTCTAAAGTTTGTCATTCTAAGGGTTTGGAGTGGGAGAGGATCCCAGGAAAATGTCACCTGGGCTAGGGAATTGCTGGGAAAGGTGTCCCTGGAGTGAGGGGATGTGGGGGCAGTTTGGGTGGGGTTTTGGGGTGGGAGCACAAAGGGGATGTGTTGGCTGCGTGGGTTTGCCAAAGTTTGTGGGTGATTGTTGAGGTGCTTTCAAAAATTCATCGTTCTAAGGGTTCCTGTTTGGGGTGGGAGAGGATCCCAGAAAATCCCCAAGGGGTGTCTCGGGATCCATCGTCTGCATGGGTTTCCCAGAGTTCCTGGGTGTTTGTTTGGGTGTTGTTCTAACATTTGTCATTCCAAGGGTCCCTCGTGGGAGAGGATCCCAGGAAAATGTCACCTGGGCCAGGGGATGCTTGGGAAAGGGTCTGGGAACAGGTCACCAAATCCCACAGACTGACACCCCAATTCCTGGGAGATTTTGGGATGATACCCTGGGAGATTTTGGGATGTTTCCCAGGGGAGACTTTGGGATGATTCCCAAGAGAACTGTGACAATTCCCAGAACAACTCCAGCAATTCCCCCCATCCCTTTCCCCTCCCACCTCCTCTGCGGCTCCCCCTCTCCTGTTACCACCCCCCTGTCCCTTTTTCCCACTTTTCCCCCGTTTTCCCTCTTTCCCAGGCCAAGTTCCTGCCCAACAGCGGTGACTCCACGCTGGCCATGTGTGCCCGGGACGGGCAGGTGCGCGTGGCCGAGCTCTCGGCCACCCAGTGCTGCCGCAGCACCAAGCGCGTGGCCCAGCACAAGGGGGCTTCCCACAAGGTGAGGGGGGCTTGGGAATGCCAAATCCCGGGATTTGGGGTGCCTGGGAATGGGGGAATGCAGTGGAAATGGGCTGGGAATGGTGTGGGAGTGTCACCACGCAGGTGACACCCGGTGCTGTCACAGCACTGAGTGCGTGGCCCAGCACAAGGGGGCTTCCCACAAGTTGAGGGGGGCTTGGGAATGGCAAATCCCGGGATTTGGGGTGCTTGGGATTTGGGAGTGGCAAATCCCGGGATTTGGGGTGCCTGGGAATGGGGGAATGGGCTGGGAATGGTGTGGGAATGGTGTGGGAGCATCACCACGCAGGTGACACCCGGTGCTGTCACAGCACTGAGTGCGTGGCCCAGCACAAGGGGGCTTCCCACAAGTTGAGGGGGGCTTGGGAATGGCAAATCCCGGGATTTGGGGTGCCTGGGAATGGGGGAACGCAGTGGAAATGGGGTGGGAGCAGTGGTGGGAGCAGGGGATGTCACCACAGAGGTGACAGAGGCTGCCACAGCACCGAGTGCGTGGCGCAGCAAAAGGAAGCCTCCCACAAGGTGAGGGGGATTTGGGAATGGCAAATCCCAGGATTTGGGGTGCTTGAGGTGCTTGGGATTTGGGAATGACAAATCCTGGGATTTGGGGTGCTTGGGGATGGGGGAACACAGTGGGAATGGGGTGGGAGCAGTGGTGGGAGCAGGGGATGTCACCACAGAGGTGACAGAGGCTGCCACAGCACCGAGTGCGTGGCGCAGCAAAAGGAAGCCTCCCACAAGGTGAGGGGGATTTGGGAATGGCAAATCCCAGGATTTGGGGTGCTTGAGGTGCTTGGGATTTGGGAATGACAAATCCTGGGATTTGGGGTGCTTGGGGATGGGGGAACACAGTGGGAATGGGGTGGGAGCAGTGGTGGGAGCAGGGGATGTCACCACAGAGGTGACAGAGGCTGCCACAGCACCGAGTGCGTGGCGCAGCAAAAGGAAGCCTCCCACAAGGTGAGGGGGATTTGGGAATGGCAAATCCCAGGATTTGGGGTGCTTGAGGTGCTTGGGATTTGGGAATGACAAATCCTGGGATTTGGGGTGCTTGGGGATGGGGGAACACAGTGGGAATGGGGTGGGAGCAGTGGTGGGAGCAGGGGATGTCACCACAGAGGTGACAGAGGCTGCCACAGCACCGAGTGCGTGGCGCAGCAAAAGGAAGCCTCCCACAAGGTGAGGGGGATTTGGGAATGGCAAATCCCAGGATTTGGGGTGCTTGAGGTGCTTGGGATTTGGGAATGACAAATCCTGGGATTTGGGGTGCTTGGGGATGGGGGAACACAGTGGGAATGGGGTGGGAGCAGTGGTGGGAGCAGGGGATGTCACCACAGAGGTGACAGAGCTGCCACAGCACCGAGTGCGTGGCCCAGCAAAAGGAAGCCTCCCACAACATGAGAGGGGCTTGGGAATGGCAAATCCCGGGATTTGGGGTGCTTGGGATTTGGGAGTGGCAAATCCCGGGATTTTTGGGGTGCCTGGGAATGGGGGAATGCCGTGGGAATGGGATGGGAGCAGGGAATGTCACCACGGAGGTGACAGAGCTCCCACAGCACGGAGCCCAGCACAAGGGGCCTTTCCACAAGGTGAGAGGGATCCCAGGAATGGCAAATCCTGGGAATGCCGAATCCTGAGAATGCCCAATCCCAGGATTTGGGGTGCTTGGGAATGGGGGAGATCTTTTCCTGGAGATCCGAGGGGTTTTTGGGAGAAAGGAAGGGATTTTCCCACTTTCTGTGCAGCAGAAATCAATTCCCAAATATTTCAAGCCTTGGATGTGGCCATTGTCACCTTTGATGTCACCGCGCAGGTGAGGGGGGTGGGTTTAGCCACTCAGCTCCATTAAAATCCAGGAATTTTGGGATTTTCCCACTTTTTGGGTGCAGTTCAGACCCTTGGCTGTGCTGTTGTCCCCATGACGTCACCCAGATGGCATCGCTGCATTTCGGGGCGGGAATCCCCAAACCTGGGGTTTTTCCAGGTGGATTTTCCTGTTTTTTTGTGATTTTTGGGAGTTGTTCTCATTGCTTTTTCCCTTTTTTCCCCCCAACCCCAGCTGGCGCTGGAGCCAGACTCGCCCTGCACGTTCCTGTCTGCAGGGGAGGACGCCGTGGTCTTCACCATCGACCTGCGGCAGGACCGGCCCGCCTCGTGAGTGAGGGGAAAAGTGGGAATTCTGAGGGGAAAAGTGGGAATTCTGAGGGGAAAATCAGGAATTCTGGGCAGGAGATGGGAATTCCGTGGGTGAAAGGGGAATTCTGTGGGGGAAGAAAGGGGATTTGAGGTAGGAAATGGGGATTCCATCGACCTGCGGCAGGACCGGCCCGCCTCGTGAGGGAGGGGAAAAGTGGGGATTCTGAGGGGAAAATCAGGAATTCTAGGTGGGAAGTGGAAGTTCTGTGGGGGGAAAAGGGTATTTGGGGGGGGAAATGGGGATTCCGTTGACCTGCGGCAGGACCGGCCCGCCTCGTGAGGGAGGGGAAAAGTGGGGATTCTGAGGGGAAAATCAGGAATTCTAGGTGGGAAGTGGAAGTTCTGTGGGGGGAAAAGGGTATTTGGGGGGGGAAATGGGGATTCCGTTGACCTGCGGCAGGACCGGCCCGCCTCGTGAGGGAGGGGAAAAGTGGGGATTCTGAGGGGAAAATCAGGAATTCTAGGTGGGAAGTGGAAGTTCTGTGGGGGGAAAAGGGTATTTGGGGGGGGAAATGGGGATTCCGTTGACCTGCGGCAGGACCGGCCCGCCTCGTGAGGGAGGGGAAAAGTGGGGATTCTGAGGGGAAAATCAGGAATTCTAGGTGGGAAGTGGAAGTTCTGTGGGGGGAAAAGGGTATTTGGGGGGGGAAATGGGGATTCCATTGATCTGTGGCAGGACCGGCCTGCCTTGTGAGTAAGGGGAAAATTGGGAATTCTGAGGGGAAAAGTGGGAATTCTGAGGGGAAAATGGAGAATTCTGTGGAGGAAATGGGGAATTCTGTGCAGGAAGAGGGAATTCTGTGGGTGAAATGGGAATTCTGTGGGGAAAAAAGGGTATTTGGGGTGGGAAATGGGGATTCCATTGGTCTGAAATAGGATCGGCCTGCATCACAAGTGATCAGAAAATTGGGAATTCTGAGGGGAAAATTTGGAATTGTGAGGGGAAATTTGAGAATTCTGAGGGGGAAAATGGGAATTCTGGGCAGGAAATGGGAAAGAGGTGGGTTTTGGGGAAAAATCAGGGTTTTTTTGGGAAATCAGGGATTTTTGGGAAAATCAGGTTATTTTTGTGAGGAAAAGGGGTTGGGTGTTTTTTGGAAATTGAGATTTTTACAGGAAAATTTGATATGTTTTGTGGGAACATAAATATTTTTGGGGAAAAAATTGAATTTTTTTGGCAAATGGATTTTTTGAGGGGGGAAATAGATTTTTTTTTTTTTTAAACCAGAGGAATTTTGTGAGAAAACATTTTTTGGGGGGGAAATCAGGTTGGTTTTTTTGGGAAAAACAACTGTTTTTTGAGGAAAAAACACTTTTTTGATGAAAATGAGGGACTTTTGTGCAAAACCTGATTACTTTTATAGGGAAAACCAGGTTTTTTTTGTGGGAAAAGCAGGGATTTTTTGAGGAAAAGCAGTTTTTCTGTCTGCCTGTGTTTTTCCAAGCCTCCAGGCTGTCATTCTGGAGGCTGATCCAGCCCAAATCCTGGGGTTTCATAACCAGGACGAGCCCTTTAATCCCTGATCCCGCCGGAATCCGCGGCTGGAGCTGATCCCAACCCCCTCCCTGGGCTCGATCCCTTTGGAATTCTCACCCTGCCAGAGCCAACCCCAAATCTTCCCTCCTGGAATGGCCCAAATTCCCTCAAATTCCAGCTGTTTTCAGGGATTTTTTTTTGAAAAATTAGGGTTTTTGGGGAAAAAAAATGGGGATTTTGGGGGGAAAATTAGGATCCTGGGGGGAATAATGCAGATTTTAATGGGGGGAAAGGTGGACAGGAAAATGAGGATTCTGTCAGGAAAATGGGGAGTTTTGGAGTTTTTTTGGTTTTTGTTTTTTTTTTTTTAAATGGGAATTTGGTAGGGGAAACATGCAGGATTTGGGAAATAACAGGTGGAGTTCGGGGAAAAATCAGGGTTTTTTTGGGAAATCACATTTCCTTTGGTAATTCCAGCCTGTCCTCTGGGCTGGATCCCTTTGGAATTTTGCCCTGGTGGAGTCAACCCTTAATATTTCTCTCCTGGAATGCCCCAAATTCCCAGAAATCCCAGATATTGGAGGGGAGAACTTCCCCAAATCCCATTTTCCCTTTGGGAATTCTCCCAGTGTGGATTTTTCCATGGGGAAATTCCCAACCTTGGGAACATTCCCCACCCTCATTGCCCAAATCCTGCTGATTGTGGGGATTTTCTCTCCCTGGGAATTCCTTTGGGCTGGGATTTGGGGGGATTGGGGCTGGGATTTGGGCTGGGATTTGGGGGGGTTGGGGCTGGGACTGGGCTGATCCCGAGGGTTTTCCCAGGAAATTGGTGGTGACGAAGGAGAAGGAGAAGAAGGTCGGGCTCTACACCATCTTTGTCAACCCTGCCAACACCTCCCAGTTCGCTGTGGGCGGCCGCGACCAGTTCGTCAGGTGGGGCCGAACTGGGAGCACTGGGAGAGCCCAAATCCTGGGATTTCCCTTCCCAAATCCATGATTTCCCCTGCCCAATTTGCCTTTCTCAAATCCAACTTTTGCCCTTCCCAAATCCATGGTTTCCCTGTCCCAAATCAGGGGCCAGGACCACTTTGGGAGGTGAGGCCAAACTGGGAGCACTGGGGGAGCCCAAATCCAGGAATTTCCCATCCCAAATCCACAATTCCCCCATCCCAAATCCACAATTCCCCCATCCCAAATCCAGAAATTCCCAAATCTGCCTCTTTCCCTTCCCAAATCCCCAATTTTGCCTTCCCAAATCCAGGACTGGGACCAGCACAGAATTCCAGGGAATTTTAGGATGGAATCTGGGGCATGGGAATGTTTTTTCTGCCCCAAATCCCCAGGGAATTTTAGGATGGAATTTGGGGCATGGGAATGTTTTTTCTGCCCCAATTCCCCAGGGAATTTTAGGCTGCAATTCAGACCATGGGAACATCATTCCTGCCTCAACCCCCCAGGGAATTTTTAGATGGAATTCAGACCATGGGAACATAATTTCTGTCCCAAATCTGGGCCTATCCTGGCACAAAAATCCCAGGGAATTTTAGGATGGAATTTTGAGCCCTGGGATCTCAGAACAGGAATTTTGAGGATAAAAAATCCTCCCTGGAGTGAATCCAACCTTTTTTTTTTATTATTATTTTTTTTAATTTTCTTCCCCTTGATTCCTGCAGGATTTATGACCAGAGGAAAATCGATGAGAACGAGAACAACGGAGTCCTGAAGAAGTTCTGCCCCCACCACCTGGTACTGGGCATACTGGGAGCACTGGGAGGGGACTGGGAGCACTGGGATCACCCCAGAGCAATCCCATGGGAAAAAGCTGCTCCTTTTCCTGGAGAATCCTTCAGGAACAGGCAGAAACAACTCCCAAAAATCTCTTTTTTTGGTTTTTTTTTCCCCCTCAATCCTCATTTTCTGCCTCCCTGCATCCTCATCTGGGGGTTTGACACTCGGAATTCCCAGGAAAAGGGGCTGGAGCTGAGCTTTTTCCCACTTTTCCAGGTAAACTGCGAGTCCAAAGCCAACATCACCTGCCTGGTCTACAGCCACGACGGCTCAGGTGAGTCCAGGTGGGAATCTGGGGAGTTCTGGGGGGTCCCACCCCCTCAAACCCCCTCATTTCCCACCAAAAAAAAATCAGGTTTTCCAAAAAATACCCATTTTCCCAAAAAACACCTGTTTATCCTCAAACAAACACCTCTTCCCCCAGAAAACCTGACTTCTCCCCTGCCAAATTCCATATTTTCCAAAATAAAAATAATTCCCCCCCGAAAAAAACCTGTTGAGTTCCCGACCCTCCTGTTTTTTTCCCATTTTCCTCCCATTTTTTCCCATTTTCTTGCTGGTTTTCCCCTTCCCCCATTTTTTCCTCTTTCCCCATTTTCCCTGCTGCTTTTCCCCATTCCCCCCATTTTTTCTCCATTTTCCTGCTGTTTTTTTCCCTTCCCCCTTTTTCCCCATTCTCCTCCCATTTTTCCCATTTTCATCCTCTTTTTTCCCATTCTCCCCGTTTTTCCCATTCTCCTCCCATTTTTCCCATTCTCCCATTTTTCCCCTTTTCCTCCTCTTTTTTCCCATTTTTCCCATTCTCCTCCCATTTTTCCCATTCTCCCATTTTTCCCCTTTTCCTCCTCTTTTTTCCCATTTTTCCCATTCTCCTCCCATTTTTTCCCATTTTCCTCCCATTTTTTCCCATTCACCCCTGTTTTTTCCCATTTTCCTCCTGTTTTTCCCCTTCCCCCATTCCCCTTCTCCCCATTTTTCCCCTTTTCCCCATTTTCCTGCTGCTTTTTCCCATTTCCCCTCTGTTTTTCCCCATTTCCCCAGCGTTTTTCCTCGATTCCCCCCATTTATTCCCCATTCCCCCCTGGTTTTTTTCCCAGTTTCCCTGTGTTTATTCCCATTTTCCCATTTTTTCCCGGTTTTTCCCCGTTGCAGAGCTGCTGGCCTCCTACAACGACGAGGACATTTACCTGTTCGACTCGGCGCACAGCGACGGCGCGCAGTACAGCCGGCGCTACAAGGGCCACCGCAACAACGCCACGGGTAACGCCCAGGTCATCCCATTCCCATTTTCCCATTTTTTCCCGGTTTTTCCCCGTTGCAGAGCTGCTGGCCTCCTACAACGACGAGGACATTTACCTGTTCGACTCGGCGCACAGCGACGGCGCGCAGTACAGCCGGCGCTACAAGGGCCACCGCAACAACGCCACGGGTAACGCCCAGGTCACCCCAAAACACCCCAAAAACAACCCCAAATCCATCCCAAATCACCCCAAATCCATCCCAAATCACCCCAAAACCAGCCCTAAACCAGCGCACCTGAAGAAGTTCTGCCCCCACCACCTGGTACTGGGCATACTGGGAGCACTGGGAGGGGACTGGGAGCACTGGGATCACCCCAGAGCAATCCCATGGGAAAAAGCTGCTCCTTTTCCTGGAGAATCCTTCAGGAACAGGCAGAAACAACTCCCAAAAATCTCTTTTTTTGGTTTTTTTTTCCCCCTCAATCCTCATTTTCTGCCTCCCTGCATCCTCATCTGGGGGTTTGACACTCGGAATTCCCAGGAAAAGGGGCTGGAGCTGAGCTTTTTCCCACTTTTCCAGGTAAACTGCGAGTCCAAAGCCAACATCACCTGCCTGGTCTACAGCCACGACGGCTCAGGTGAGTCCAGGTGGGAATCTGGGGAGTTCTGGGGGGTCCCACCCCCTCAAACCCCCTCATTTCCCACCAAAAAAAAATCAGGTTTTCCAAAAAATACCCATTTTCCCAAAAAACACCTGTTTATCCTCAAACAAACACCTCTTCCCCCAGAAAACCTGACTTCCCCCCTGCCAAATTCCATATTTTCCAAAATAAAAATAATTCCCCCCCGAAAAAAACCTGTTGAGTTCCCGACCCTCCTGTTTTTTTCCCATTTTCCTCCCATTTTTTCCCATTTTCTTGCTGGTTTTCCCCTTCCCCCATTTTTTCCTCTTTCCCCATTTTCCCTGCTGCTTTTCCCCATTCCCCCCATTTTTTCTCCATTTTCCTGCTGTTTTTTTCCCTTCCCCCTTTTTCCCCATTCTCCTCCCATTTTTCCCATTTTCATCCTCTTTTTTCCCATTCTCCCCGTTTTTCCCATTCTCCTCCCATTTTTTCCCATTTTCCTCCCATTTTTTCCCATTCACCCCTGTTTTTTCCCATTTTCCTCCTGTTTTTCCCCTTCCCCCATTCCCCTTCTCCCCATTTTTCCCCTTTTCCCCATTTTCCTGCTGCTTTTTCCCATTTCCCCTCTGTTTTTCCCCATTTCCCCAGCGTTTTTCCTCGATTCCCCCCATTTATTCCCCATTCCCCCCCTGTTTTTTTCCCAGTTTCCCTGTGTTTATTCCCATTTTCCCATTTTTTCCCGGTTTTTCCCCGTTGCAGAGCTGCTGGCCTCCTACAACGACGAGGACATTTACCTGTTCGACTCGGCGCACAGCGACGGCGCGCAGTACAGCCGGCGCTACAAGGGCCACCGCAACAACGCCACGGGTGGGAAAACACCCCCAAATCCATCCCAAGACACCCCCAAATCCATCCCAAATACACCCCAAAACCAGCCCCAAAATCAGCCCTAAAACTGCCCCAAATTACCCCAAAAACACCCCAAAACCAGCCCTAAACCAGCGCAGTACAGCCGGCGCTACAAGGGCCACCGCAACAACGCCACGGGTAATGCTCAGGTCATCCCAAAGTCATCCCAAAACCAGCCCCAAATCACCCCAAAAATGGCCTGAAACCACCCCAAAACCAGCCCAGGAACAGCCCCAAAACTACCCCAAAACCAGCCCCAAATCCATCCCAAAACCAGCCCTAAACCAGCGCAGTACAGCCGGCGCTACAAGGGCCACCGCAACAACGCCACGGGTAATGCTCAGGTCATCCCAAAGTCATCCCAAAACCAGCCCCAAATCACCCCAAAAATGGCCTGAAACCACCCCAAAACCAGCCCAGGAACAGCCCCAAATCACCCCAAAACCAGCCTAAAACAGCACAGTACAACCGGCACTACAAGGGCCACCGCAACAACGCCACGGGTAACGCCCAGGTCATCCCAAAATCACCCCAAAACCAGCCCCAAATCCATCCCAAATCACCCCAAAACCAGCCCCAAATCCATCCCAAAACCAGCCCTAAACCAGCGCAGTACAGCCGGCGCTACAAGGGCCACCGCAACAACGCCACGGGTGGGAAAACACCCCCAAATCCATCCTAAATACACCCCAAAATCAGCCCTAAAACTGCCCCAAATTACCCCATAAATATCCCAAAACCAGCCCTAAACCAGCGCAGTACAGCCAGTGCTACAAGGGCAACCGCAACAGCACCACAGGTAACGCCCAAATCACCCCAAAAATCCATCCCAAAACACCCCAAAAACAGCCCCAAATCCATCCCAAAACCAGCCCCAAACTCAGCCCAGGAACAGCTCCAAATCACCCCAAAACCAGCCCTAAAACAGCCCAGAAACACCCTGAAAACAGTCCCCAAAAAGCCCAAAATTACCCCCAAACCAGCCCTGAAACAGTCCAGAAACAGCCTGAAAAATCAACCCTAAACCCACGCCAAAATCAGCCTTCAATCAGCCCTAAAATACCCCAAAATCAACCCTAAATCCTTCCCCGAATTACCTCAGAATCAACACCAAAATCAACCCTAAATCAGCCTTAAATCACCCCAAAATCAACCCTAAATCATCCCAAAATCAGCCCTAAAACACCCCAAAATCAGCCCTAAATGCAACCCCAAAATAACCCTAAACCCCCCCAAAAACCCCCCTGGAGATCCCTAAAAACCCTTCTGGGAAACATTTCCTTGGCTTCCCAGCCAGGAATTCCACTGGAGACAACCCCAACCTCCCATTTTTTCCTATTTTTCCCGTTTTCCCCTGTTTTTCCCCCGTTTTTCCAGTGAAAGGGGTGAATTTCTACGGCCCCAAGAGCGAGTTCGTGGTGAGCGGCAGCGACTGCGGCCACATTTTCCTGTGGGAAAAATCCTCCTGCCAGATCGTGCAGTTCATGGAAGGGGACAAGGGCGGAGTGGTGAGACCCCAAAATTCCCAAAATTCCCGCTTTTCCCCCCACCCCACCCATCCCCTTTTCCCTCTGTTCCGACCCCAAAAGCAGCGGGATGGCCCCGTTCCCGTTTTCCAGGGGTTTGAGGGTGGGGCAGGATCCCAAATTTGGCCGATTCCCCAGGAGCCTCTGGGATTTTTCCAGGTGTTTCCTGCAGGAAAGGGAAGTGCCTGTGCTGGGAATGGCTGCATCCCGAATTTCCTCTGCTGGGAACTCCTGCCTCTCCTGCTTTGGGATGGGCAGGAAGGGCCCCTTCCCTTTCCCCCCCCCTTTCCCCCCCTTTTTCCCTCTTTTCCCCCTTTTTTCCCTTTTTTACTCATTTTCTCACCCCCTTTTTCCCCGGTTTTTTCCCAGGTGAGCTGCACCCTCACCTTCCCCATTCCCAATCCCATTCTCAATCCAATTTTTCCTCTTTTTCTCACTTTTCCCCCTTTTTTCCCAGGTGAACTGCCTGGAGGGGCAGCTCCCCCATTCCCAATCCCATTCCTGATCCCAAAATCTCTCTTTTTCCCAGGTGAACTGCCTGGGATTGCCATTCCCAACCCCAAAATCCCCATTTTTCCCACTATTTTTCCCGTTTCCCCAGGTGAACTGCCTGGGATTGCCATTCCCAATCCCAAATCCCCACTTTTCCCACTATTTTTCCCATTTTCCCCAGGTGAACTGCCTGGGACTGCCATTCCCAATCCCCAAATCCCCATTTTTCCCACTATTTTTCCCATTTTTCCCAGGTGAACTGCCTGGGATTGCCCTTCCCAATCCCATTCCCAATCCCCAAATCCCCACTTTTCCCATTTTTCCCCATTTTTCCCAGGTGAACTGCCTGGGATTGTCATTCCCAATCCCCAAATCCCCACTTTTCCCATTTTTCCCCATTTTTCCCAGGTGAACTGCCTGGGATTGCCATTCCCAATCCCCAAATCCCCATTTTTCCCATTTTTCCCCCATTTTCCCCAGGTGAACTGCCTGGGATTGCCATTCCCAATCCCATTCCCAATCCCCAATTTCCATGGAATCTGACCCAGGATTTTCATGGAATCTGACCTGGGATTTCCTTGGCATGTGACCCGGGTTTTCCATGGAATCTGACCCGGGATTTCCTTGGAATGTGACCTGGGATTTCCTTGGAATCTGACCCGGGATTTCCATGGAATCTGACCCAGGATTTTCATGGAATCTGACCTGGGATTTCCTTGGCATGTGACCCGGGTTTTCCATGGAATCTGACCCGGGATTTCCTTGGAATGTGACCTGGGATTTCCTTGGAATCTGACCCGGGATTTCCATGGAATCTGACCCAGGATTTTCATGGAATCTGACCTGGGATTTCCTTGGCATGTGACCCGGGTTTTCCATGGAATCTGACCCGGGATTTCCTTGGAATGTGACCTGGGATTTCCTTGGAATCTGACCCGGGATTTCCATGGAATCTGACCCAGGATTTTCATGGAATCTGACCTGGGATTTCCTTGGCATGTGACCCGGGTTTTCCATGGAATCTGACCCGGGATTTCCTTGGAATGTGACCTGGGATTTCCTTGGAATCTGACCCGGGATTTCCATGGAATCTGACCCAGGATTTTCATGGAATCTGACCTGGGATTTCCTTGGCATGTGACCCGGGTTTTCCATGGAATCTGACCCGGGATTTCCTTGGAATGTGACCTGGGATTTCCTTGGAATCTGACCCGGGATTTCCATGGAATCTGACCCAGGATTTTCATGGAATCTGACCTGGGATTTCCTTGGCATGTGACCCGGGTTTTCCATGGAATCTGACCCGGGATTTCCTTGGAATGTGACCTGGGATTTCCTTGGAATCTGACCCGGGATTTCCATGGAATCTGACCCAGGATTTTCATGGAATCTGACCTGGGATTTCCTTGGCATGTGACCCGGGTTTTCCATGGAATCTGACCCGGGATTTCCTTGGAATGTGACCTGGGATTTCCTTGGAATCTGACCCGGGATTTCCATGGAATCTGACCCAGGATTTTCATGGAATCTGACCTGGGATTTCCTTGGCATGTGACCCGGGTTTTCCATGGAATCTGACCCGGGATTTCCTTGGAATGTGACCTGGGATTTCCTTGGAATCTGACCCGGGATTTCCATGGAATCTGACCCAGGATTTTCATGGAATCTGACCTGGGATTTCCTTGGCATGTGACCCGGGTTTTCCATGGAATCTGACCCGGGATTTCCTTGGAATGTGACCTGGGATTTCCTTGGAATCTGACCCGGGATTTCCATGGAATCTGACCCAGGATTTTCATGGAATCTGACCTGGGATTTCCTTGGCATGTGACCCGGGTTTTCCATGGAATCTGACCCGGGATTTCCTTGGAATGTGACCTGGGATTTCCTTGGAATCTGACCCGGGATTTCCATGGAATCTGACCCAGGATTTTCATGGAATCTGACCTGGGATTTCCTTGGCATGTGACCCGGGTTTTCCATGGAATCTGACCCGGGATTTCCTTGGAATGTGACCTGGGATTTCCTTGGAATCTGACCCGGGATTTCCATGGAATCTGACCCAGGATTTTCATGGAATCTGACCTGGGATTTCCTTGGCATGTGACCCGGGTTTTCCATGGAATCTGACCCGGGATTTCCTTGGAATGTGACCTGGGATTTCCTTGGAATCTGACCCGGGATTTCCATGGAATCTGACCCAGGATTTTCATGGAATCTGACCTGGGATTTCCTTGGCATGTGACCCGGGTTTTCCATGGAATCTGACCCGGGATTTCCTTGGAATGTGACCTGGGATTTCCTTGGAATCTGATCCGGGATTTCCTTGGCATGTGACCCGGGATTTCCTTGGAATCTGACCTAGGTTTTCCTTGGAATCTGACCCGGGATTTCCTTGGAATGTGACCCGGGTTTTCCATGGAATGTGCCCTGTGATTTCCAGAATCTGATCCGGGATTTCCTTGGAATGTGACCCGGGTTTTCCATGGAATGTGCCCTGGGATTTCCACAGAATCTGACCTGGGTTTTCCATGGAATGAGCCCCGGGATTCCCATTAAATCTGACCCGGGATTTCCTTGCAATCTGACCCGGGATTCCCATGGAATGCGCCCCGGGATTCTCATGAAATCTGACCCGGGATTCCCATGGAATGCGCCCCGGGATTCCCGTGGGATTTAACCCTTTTCCCGCCAGGTGATCAAGAAGAACAAGGTGGAGCGGGACGAGGACAGCCTGCACCACACGGACATGTTCGACAGCCACATGCTCTGGTTCCTCATGCACCACCTGCGCCAGCGCCGCCACCACCGGGTACTGCTGCTGCACCTCTGCTGCCCCTCTGCTGCACCTCTGCTGCACCTCTGCTGCACCTCTGCTGCCCCTCTGCTGCACCTCTGCTGCACCTCTGCTGCCCCTCTGCTGCACCTCTGCTGCACCTCTGCTGCCCCTCTGCTGCACCTCTGCTGCACCTCTGCTGCCCCTCTGCTGCACCTCTGCTGCACCTCTGCTGCCCCTCTGCTGCACCTCTGCTGCACCTCTGCTGCCCCTCTGCTGCACCTCTGCTGCACCTCTGCTGCCCCTCTGCTGCACCTCTGCTGCACCTCTGCTGCCCCTCTGCTGCACCTCTGCTGCACCTCTGCTGCCCCTCTGCTGCACCTCTGCTGCACCTCTGCTGCCCCTCTGCTGCACCTCTGCTGCACCTCTGCTGCCCCTCTGCTGCACCTCTGCTGCACCTCTGCTGCCCCTCTGCTGCACCTCTGCTGCACCTCTGCTGCCCCTCTGCTGCACCTCTGCTGCACCTCTGCTGCCCCTCTGCTGCACCTCTGCTGCACCTCTGCTGCCCCTCTGCTGCACCTCTGCTGCACCTCTGCTGCCCCTCTGTGGAATCTGACCCGGGATTTCCTTGGAATGTGACCTGGGATTTCCTTGGAATCTGATCCGGGATTTCCTTGGCATGTGACCCGGGATTTCCTTGGAATCTGACCTAGGTTTTCCTTGGAATCTGACCCGGGATTTCCTTGGAATGTGACCCGGGTTTTCCATGGAATGTGCCCTGTGATTTCCAGAATCTGATCCGGGATTTCCTTGGAATGTGACCCGGGTTTTCCATGGAATGTGCCCTGGGATTTCCACAGAATCTGACCTGGGTTTTCCATGGAATGAGCCCCGGGATTCCCATTAAATCTGACCCGGGATTTCCTTGCAATCTGACCCGGGATTCCCATGGAATGCGCCCCGGGATTCTCATGAAATCTGACCCGGGATTCCCATGGAATGCGCCCCGGGATTCCCGTGGGATTTAACCCTTTTCCCGCCAGGTGATCAAGAAGAACAAGGTGGAGCGGGACGAGGACAGCCTGCACCACACGGACATGTTCGACAGCCACATGCTCTGGTTCCTCATGCACCACCTGCGCCAGCGCCGCCACCACCGGGTACTGCTGCTGCACCTCTGCTGCACCTCTGCTGCCCCTTCTCCCTGCTTCTCCCTGCTTTTCCCCCTTTTCCCTGCTTTTCCCCCACTTTTCCCTGCTTTTCCTTGTTTTCCCCCACTTTTCCCTGCCTTTTCCATGCTTTTTCCCCACTTTTCCCTGCTTTTCCCCCTTTTCCCTGCCTTTCCCCCACTTTTCTCTGTTTTCCCCCACTTTTCCCTGCTTCCCCCCACCCCGTTTCTCCCCCGTTTCTCCCCCGTTTCTCCCCCGTTTCTCACCCACCCCTGCCGTTCCCGCAGCGCCGCCGGGACCCCGGGGCCGATTCCCCCTCGGACGATTCCGGGAGCTCCTCGGACACCTCGGACGATGAGGAGGAGGGGCCGGACCGGGTGCAGTGCATGCCCTCGTGAGCCCCAAAACCCCCAAAATCCCCCCAAAAAAACCCCCAAAACCCCAGCCCGGGGGGGGCCCCACCCCACTAACACTTGGAGCTTTGTATTGACCCTGTTCAGCCCCCCCAAATTCCCAGTTTTCCCCTTTTTTGGGGTCCCCTTCCCCTTTTTTTCCCTTTTTCCCCCTCCTTTATGGGGTCCCCTCCCCCTTTTTCCCCTTTTTTGGGGTCCCCCCTCAATTTGGGGGGGTCCAGGGGGGATTTTTTACTGCCCCCCTTCTCCCCCCAGTTTTTTTGGGACCCCTGCCCCACCCCTTGAGCTCTTCAAGCGCCCCTTTTTTGGGGAGGGGGAGTCCCACCCCTTTTTCCTCATTTTCCCTCTTTTTTCCTCATTTTCTCCCCCTTTTTCCTCATTTCTCCCCCTTTTTTCTCATTTTTCCCACCTTTTTCCTGCTTTTTGCCCTTTTTTCTTCCCTTTTTTCCCTCCATTTCCCCCTTTTTTTCTTTTTCCCCATTTTTCTTTCTCCCCTTTCTTTCCCTCCCCCCATTTTTTTTTCCTTTTTTCCCCCATTTTTCCCTCCCCTTTCCCCCTCCTTTTATTCTCTTATTTTCTCCCTTTCCCCCCCACTTTTCCTTGGTTTAGGGGGGTCTGGGGGTGTCCCCTGCCCCCCCCCCGAGGGTCCCCAACCCTCCCTGGGGGTCCCCAACCCTGCCCGGGGAGGGTTTTATCCCGGGGGTCCCTGTCAGTGCTTTGGGATAATTCGGGGGGGGGGTCCCAGCCCTTCCTGAGGGTCCCCAGCCCTCCCTGGGTGTCCCCAACCCTGCCCGGGGGTCCCCAACCCCTCCTGGGGGGTCTTTTATCCCCCCTTGGGGTCCCTGTTCCTACCCAGGGGTGACTGGGGAGGGGTCGCTGTCCCTGCTTGGGGACAATGACAGTTCCTCTCCCTGGGGGTGCCTGGCTGTCCCTGTCCCCGGCTGTCCCTGGGTGTCCCCATCCCTGGGTGTCTCTGTCCCCGCCTGTCCCTGTCCCCATCCCCGGCTGTCCCTGCCTGTCCCTGTCCCCATCCCTGTCCTCATCTGTCCCTGTCCCCGCCTGTCCCTGTCCCGATCCGTCCCGGTTCCTGTCCCCATCCCCGGCTATCTCCGCGCTGGGGACAGGGGAGGGAGAGGATGGGGACAAGGAGGGGGACAGGGATGGGAACAGGGAGAGGACAGGGGAGGATGGGGACAGGGATGGGGACAGGTGAGGGACAGGATGGGGACAGGGACAGGGATGGAGAAGGGAGAGGGACAGGGGACAAGCAAGGGACAGGATGGGGACAGGGATGGAGACGGGAGAGAGATGGGGACAGGATGGGGACAGGGACTGGGAGAGGGCTCAGGTGGCGGGGAGAGGGACAGGGACTGGGGACTGGCACAGGGCTCAGGTGACAGGGACTGGGACAGGGACTGGGCTCAGGTGACAGGGACAGAGCTCAGGTGACAGGGACAGAGCTCAGGGGACCGGGATGGGGACCCGCCCAGAGCTGGAGCAGCCCCGGGGCGCGGGGAGGGGACAGTGCCGGTGGCACGGGGTGTCCCCGGGTCACACCTCGGTCCAGCTTGCTGTGGCGCTCCAGGAAGGCGAACCAGTGGTGGCCGGTGGCGATGGCGTCCCCCTCGCCGCTGGGGATGTCCTCGCGACACGCGGACTTGAGCTGCTCCAGGTCCTCGGCCGTGATGTTCTGGGCCAGCTCCTCCAGCAGACTGCGGTACTCGGCCATGGCTGGGGACACGGGGACATGGGGACATGGGGACATGGCTGGGGACATGGCTGTGCTGGGCCAGCTCCTCCAGCAGACTGCGGTACTCGGCCATGGCTGGGGACACGGGGACATCAGGGACATTGGGGACACTGGGGACATGGCCATGGCTGCGGTCATCAGGGACATGAGGGACATCACTGCGAGGGGACGGGGGCATTGATGTTCTGGGCCAGCTCCTCCAGCAGACTGCGGTACTCGGCCATGGCTGGGGACACGGGGACATCAGGGACATTGGG